TACATTTATGATCACCATATCATATTGCTTATTACACTTAGGAAATGTATGTTCAAGATGGAAAAACCTTCATTTGTTCTTTATTAATGCTCCAGGCTGCTTCTTGCCAACAGTTTCACAATGCTCTAATAAGCTCATTCTGTAAAGGAGACCCTGCACTAGTTTTGGCTGAAAGCTGAAGCATCTATTTATGACTCTACACTGCAGTTAATTCTTAACAGACCTGACAATGAAAATAACTTCTATGCAATTATCAAGAGGCAAAGTTGGCTTTTATGTGGTAGCTAAACTGATTTATTGTAAGGTACAGATACTTACTGCAGCAGTCAATATGACTCATGAAAATGCTCATTTTCAGCATCAATGCTTATTTCCCAATATTGTTTTATTCATCAAGCTTTGAATTTTCAACAAGCAATTATATTGGGAAAGGAGATTATCAAAGAGTGTCACATATTTTCCTGTCTGTAACCAGGGGCACATGATTTCATATGGCTAAGTCAATACAGAACAGATAAACACCAGAATAATATTTTATTTAATATTTTTAAAAAGGTATTTATTGTATCTTCTGCCATTAATTTCTTTCGCTTACTATTTCTTACCCTTTTTTGCACTTTGTACAAAGTTGTTTACCTGACAAGGAATAACATGCTAGGTATACATGTATGTAGGGATTAATTCCTTTAATTTAACCTACTATCATAATAATGAAGGGAAAAATAAATTGTCCAATTTTCTATAACTCATTTGATTCAGGTTTAAAAAATTTCTCACATATCATTGTGAAAAAATGTTATCTTTCTAAAGATATCCAGTATTACAGATTGTTACACTTTTCAACTATAACACTGTTGATTTTGCCCCAACTGAAAAGCAATGTACAGCAATGCTTAAGTATGTGAATCTAGAAATCTTCAATTCAAATCTCATTTTGCAAGAAACCCACTTAATTTTATTACATAAGCCATTATGTCCTTTCCTTTGTCTTCCAATTTGCAACAGAATAATAATGATAAGCTTTGCAGGGAATGCTGAATTTATTCCTGAAAAGAAGTCTGGACACTCTTATTATTCAACATATATACAACCATTTAAGCTAGTTTCATATTTTTATGAGCCCTTATTATTTCATTTTGTTTAAAACATTTAATTATAGTGATTTAAAAGAAACTGCTGAATGGTTATCCCATTTTCTTGGCATCTTTGCAAGAGAAGTGCAGCATGTCCATATGTCATGCAGAAAGGGTATCCCTGCCAATGCTAACAAAATAAGTGACAGATATAACAAGACAGTTATATAACAAAGCCAGCAATCAAGAGAACAGTTTGAGGACAATTAAATTAAGCAAATAGTGTATGTTCACTGATATGATCCCAAAATTGTTTAGAAGAAGAAAAAAAACCTCAGAACTGCTGATCAGTGACACAGAGATGCACAATTTATTGCATTTTTCTAGGCATCAATGTTTACCTTTTGTTAAATCAGGCCTTGAAGAAGGCTGGCCTGCGGTTTCTTCAGGGTCTTCATTACTACTTTCTGATGCATCACTGTCAGTTTCATCCCCATCATCTTCATCGCTCTCTGTAGTATCACTGACATCATTATCACTCTCCACTCTCTCATAATCACTGTCATCTGACTCCTCTTCAGATTCTTGGCTAGGTGAGTTCACTTCGGGCAAGAGCTTACGTCTTTTGGCATCATCAGCACTTCCCGCAGCACCACTTCCCATGCTGCTCAAAACTTGTAGAGATCGTTTTTGGCCTAAGAGTTTTCGATTTAAGATACTGATCTGCCCACTGATATCCGGAGTCCGTACGGTTGGAGTCTTACTGTCCTTACCAGAGGAGGAATTCTTCTTTTGGGGATGGGCCCCAGCTTTATTTTCACGCAGCTGCTTCATGAGGCTTCTGGTATTTTTGTATGTGTCAACTCACTAGTTCAAGTAAGAAAAAAAAATTCTATTAGCCTTCATTTCATTATAATTCAATAATAGAAAATGGGATTGGCTGTCTAATTATATTTCTCAAATTTGAAATCATCTTATGCACATTCCCAGATGAAAAACAGCTGCATTAAAACAGTTAATAAACTAGGAGTTTATAAACTGGGAAGGAATTATGGCACCGTACTAATTTGATAATACACTTTGTGAAGTACCCCTTCTGGATCTCCTCCTGAAACAGTAAGAAGCCACTAGAGTTGTTCAAAGCATCACTGCAATTACTTAAGAAGTCCTTCCAAGATCTTCTGGGTTATTCATGTGCATGCCCAGAAGACACTTCCAGCAGAATAGCTAATGAATTGGCTGTTTTGAAGAGCAAATATGGAAGTTGCTTCACTTGTGGAAAAAAATATCTTGTTGAATTATTTGCCCAGCCTCGGATGTATATTTCCTTATCTAAAGACCTGTGGTAGTAGGATTCTTCATTAAAGAATGCAGATATCTCTTTCTCTTTTAACCTATTATATATCATCACAGATACATCTAGCAGCACCTCTAATTCCTTTACATTATTATATTTCAGGTATGGATGCCATCTGCTATTTGAAACATTACAAAATTGAAGAGATGAACAGTGCTTCCATTGTGTTCTAAACTGAAAAGTTATATGAAGATACCTTTTAAATAAAGTAACCAATGTGGGTGTCAGAGAAGTAGCTTGTTGAATTCTTCCAAAGTTCTGCTAACTGAGAGAACCTAAATTCAGCTCAATGTTCACCAAGTAATCTTACTTGCTAGAGCCAGAAAGAGATCTAACAATCTTGAGTAGGTAAGTTTTATATGTATATGAGACATTTTATACATGTATAATGTTCAGCTGTTTAAGAAAAAAATGGTAGGAACCCAGAGTTCGTACATCAAGTGATTTAATCATTCCTTTTAGTGTTAATTTCAGTCACATTAAAATAAGGAGAGGAAACTATAAATAAAAATATTCAAAAAAACAAGCCCAGTCTTTTCTTAGAGTCTATGAATCCTTCCTAAGCTATTACCATCTATTTCTCTAGACAGGTTTCAAACTCTAATTCATAACTAACACAAGAGCAGTAATGTATTTCTCTCTATTGCACTGTAGAAAGAGGAAACTACTCTGCCCAAAGCTGGTATTTAGGAAAGTTAAGCAACCACAAAATTGTGCTCTGAACAAGAATTTTAGTTCTTCAAGGAAAAAAAAAAATCTAATATGTAGAATCCAATAGTTTATTTTCCGACCTGATCCCTTTGCTACTAAAAGTGCATTAATTGGGCAGTTTCAAAGTAAATCAATGTTATCAGACAAATCTATGGCTAATATATTGATGTAAGAGGTTTTGTCAATATTCAAGAGCAGGATATTGCCAATTATTAGATACAAGAGCTAATTAATGAAGAAAAATATTAACAGGTCATTGTGTTGTATTTTAGAGTGTTTTAACAGAATGTCAAAATCTGGTAACTATATCAAGCTTTGCTGTTCACATATTGCTTCTGGGATAGAGGCAGGTTAGACTTCTCTGCAATTCGCTGTAAGGCTGATTCTGATGGAGTTACAGTATATAAGGCTGGATCTTCTTTAATTGCTCAGAGATGAAGTAGGATAGCAGGAGCGACCAGCCTTTTACAATGATATCTCATACCAAGTTCTATGCTTTAAGCAGGTAAAACAAGGCAAGCAGCTTGGCATGATTCAGATGTTTTGGACTACAACTTCTACAATTCTTTGCTAGCTGGAACTAAAAAGAGCTGAAGTCCAAAATTGCTTCCCCCATTATAAAATGGGGTGCCCCCATTATAAAAAGAGGTGCCCTAAAGTTTAAAATCTGTTTCTGCCAGACAGAATTAAATGTTCATATTTCACCACAAAAATTAATTTTACATATTACTTGGGACTCTAGCATGCAATGACCTAGAGTTAGTGCCTATAAAAACATGGCAGTCTTGTCATTGATGGAATTTTTCTAACATGTAGGAGCTGCGATTACAAAAGTCCTCCTTTTCACATTGTTCACATAAAATGTGGGAAACTGTAAAAGCAGTACTTGCTGTCGATTTTCTCTTTGTGGTTCTGTTAAATGAAGCAATTGGGTAGACAGGCCACTGCTTCACTAAAATTGTGATGGAATATGTTATCAATGAACCCTAGAAATGCCAAGCCTTCATTATTGGTTTCATGTAGGTATTTCATGGGACATTTAAAAATATTTTATGGTTTTCACCCCTATGAAACGACCAGCAATCTGTCATTTCCCTATTATCCAAAAGGAAAAGACTTACAGTATTGCCTCTGAAGTTGGAAGTTTCATTGTATTGCCTTAGATCAGTGTTTCTCAACCTTGACAATTTTAAGGCATGTGGACTTCAACTCCCAGAATTCCACAGCCAGCATTGCTGGCTGTGGAATTCTGGGAGTTGAAGTCCACATGCCTTAAAATTGTCAAGGTTGAGAAACACTGCCTTAGATTTTCGCGAAACAGCAATTTTACCAAGTCTGTGACAGGCCAAGTAACGATTCCTTTTAGTCCGCCAATTTTGCAGGCCTCCAGTGTTACCCTTTCCCACTTGCTAGTCGGTAACAAAGTGATGAGTGGTATCCATTCGAGGGGAGTTAAGGGTCTTCCACCGGAAGAGGCGGTCCCTAGGAAAGGATATGCGAACGATCGGGGAGGGAGCTGTAAAACACGAGTTCTACCTGCCTGTGACGGGCTGCCCACGCTTTATCCCACACGATCACACTCCGTCCCTCTCCCCGGCCTGCCTGCCTCCACGATCTTCCCGGCCTGCTGGTAGGTCACGCCGCCCCAGCTCCTTTCCGTTTCCTGGCAACGGCACGACTGGGGGGGCTGAGGCTCACGGAAGTCACAAAGAGCCGGGCACGTGAGTCGGTCCACTTGCGCACGCGCACACAGACATCACCATTTCGGACGGGGAGGGCCGGAGGAGCTTTCCGAAGAGAGCCAGCCTACCCGGGGGTCCACCCCGCCTTCCTCTTGACGTCACTCGAGTAAACAGAAAGAGCTTGGGAAGGTTTTGCCGTAATGCCTTTATTTACAAACAACCGGGTGAGCCCGCTCCCCCGCAAGAAAGCCCCGCAACAAGCTCCCCCCCTCGGCTATTTGCTCTCAGGAGTGGTTAGAGTCAACCTTGACAATTTTAAGGCATGTGGACTTCAACTCCCAGAATTCCACAGCCAGCAATGCTGGCTGTGGAATTCTGGGAGTTGAAGTCCACATGCCTTAAAATTGTCAAGGTTGAGAAACACTGTTTAATGGAACTAAATGAGAATTCTGGGAGTTGAAGTCCACATGCCTTAAAATTTTCAAGGTTGAGAAACACTGGGTTAGACAAAGTCATTTCGGTTTGCTCTCCGCAGCATCAGGAATAAACAGCAAAGTAATTCGGGGAGTTCGGCTATCCGTGGCTTGATTTGATGCCAATTCCGTTCCATCCTTCCTCCAGGGCCAGGGAGCTCCGTTCCTCTGAATCTTGTGCCACGATCACTGATTTACTCCTAAAAACACCAATTGAAATGGGTTGCACCTAGGTCGTGTTGGAAGGCGCGCGTGGCTCACTTGCAAGCGCTGGCACCTCTGGAGGGTCAACAGAAAGCGGCGGCTTCCTCCGCTTGGGCCCCTGTGGAGTGGAAGAAGAAGAATAGGAAAGGGCACGCTTGTTCAGTTACGTGATAGTCCAGTGGTGGCGAACCTATGGCACGGGTGCCAGAGGCGGCACTCAGAACTCTCTCTGTGGGCACGCGCACCGTTGCCCCAGTCCTAGGCCTTCAGCTGGGTTTTATAAAACCTTTTCATTTTAGGTCTCCGCTGCCATGTGCAAAAAAAAAAGGTTCAATCAATCAGTCAATTTCAACTTCTCGCGGGGAAAAAAAAGATCTTGCAAAGTTGGAATTGATTGATTGAACTTTTTAGTCCCACCCAGTCTGCCGTTACCACCGCAGCCATGCCTACCCAATGGGCCACACCCACCCAATGGGCCACACCCACCCGGCACCCGACGATGCATAAGTGGGTTTTGGGTTGCAGTTTGGGCACTCGGTCTCTAAAAGGTTCGCCATCACTGTGATAGTCCATAGGGAATTTCTTTCTCTGATGCTGCCCGTCAAACCTGAGGTTTGGGAGCGTGACTGGGGTGGAATACAGGTAGTCCTCTACTTACAACTAATGTAGTAAATTGAACAATTATTAGAATAATGATTTGTCTGCATAACTGCAATAATGATGTGTCTGCATAATTGCTAGAACAATGATGTAATGCATAATCACTGGGAAAATTCACTGGGAAAGTTCTCTGTCAGTAATATGTGGCAACCAAATGCGCTCTGCACATGGATACTTTGTATGTAGCAAAACCTTCCATTGTATGCCTGTGAGAAACGCTCCTAATGTATCACAGTGTGTATTTCAATGTGTAGCCCTTTGTTCTTTAAAGAGGGGAGTATAAAAACTGAAGTCTAATCCCGCCCTCTTCGTTCAGAATTGCCTATCTCTAATATGCTCTGAACCTTGCGCAAATAAACTTCTCTGCTAAACCCCTCTGGAATTCGTAAGAGTTCTTTCATTTTCCACAAGACAACCACAACTGAGCCCAAAATTATGTTGCTAAGTGAGACATTTGTTGTGAGTTTTGCCCCATTTTTATGACTTTTTTTTCTTGCCACATTTCTAAATTGTATCACTGCAGTGGTTAAATTAGTAACACCCTTGTTATGTGAATTTGGCTTTTCCATTGATTCTGGGAGAGGAAATTTTAAGGTTTTGCATGCTTATAATAATAAAGTTGGAAGGGACCTTGGAGGTCGTCTAGTCCAACCCCCTGCCCAGGCAGGAAACCCTATACCATTTTGGACAAATGGCTGTCCAGTCTCTTCTTAAAAACTTCCAGTGTTGGAGCATTCACCGCTTCTGGGGGCAGGTTGTTCCACTGGTTAATTGTTCTAACTGTCAGGAAGTTTCTCCTTAGTTCTAGGTTGCTTCTTATAAATTATATTAACCCCACTTTGGGCTTAAACTTTAGTTTTTGATATTTTACAGAATAAATTGCCAGAAAGAATACCAGTTTTTGGCAACTGTGTTCATAAATTGTTTCAAGGAAAGCCAAAGAAAAAGAAAAAAGTTGGGGGTGGACTTATGGCTGCCTGCAATCCTAGGCTTCAGGTTGCCCATTTCATGATATAAACCATGATTTACCGATCACAGTAATTGGGTATACAACATCCTGGATGTGCATTATTTACACTGTATATGACCCCTGCATCATGCGATGTGGGCAACAGTATGTTCACTTCTAAGGTAGTGTCTAGAATAGAGATTCCCCCTTGCTTAAAGCAATATGGACATGTTTGTGCTAAATAGATCAAAAGTGCCCAATACATTTTTACAGTATTATTACAGTATTATTATTACAATATTATTAAAGTATATTGGCCATGTTATGCTTGTGAATTCATTGGAGAAGGCAATGATGCTAGGAATGGCTAGTGGACAAAGAAGGGGCAAGCAAAGAACACACTGACTTGATAACATCAAATCTGATGCAAAGTTGAATATGCAACAATTGAAAGAAGCAGTGCTTAACAGGATAGCATAGAGAGCACTTGCCTATAGAGTCACCAAGACTCAAACACGACTAAATGATTAAAAACAAACAAACTGTTATTACTATGAGCAGGAAATGCTCAATGTGGAATGGGTATGACCAAGACTGGGAACTTAGTCTGCACGTTATCGTACTAAAAGCATTATATGAAAGACTATTAACCAGTAGAAATTAACATCTATGGGTCTATGTGGTAAAGACTATGGCATATGGAAGATTGTGGTTTGGGATGTAAGACAAATAAATGATAAAGAGCATGAGTTAATGAAATGAAAAAAACATAGGTATGCTGTATGTTTATGGAGATTCTCAGTCATCCAGGTCATGGTTATCCCAAAGGTGCTTTTTCAAGAGGCCACTGGACTTTCTTGCTTTTCTTTGACGATGTTTCGCTTCTCATCCAGGAAGCTTCTTCAGTTCTGACTGGATGGTGGGGAATGGAAAGATTTGTATTCCTTGCAGGTAGCTGGTCATTTGCATTATTTTAGAGAGTTTTGAGGCCACTATGGTTTATCTGCGTCTTCAGGGTCACCTGAGTAGTGCAAATGGATGTGGAGCCTTCTTGGAACTGCTGAAAGGAGTGTGTTGTAGACTGGAGATAGATGATATCGTATCTCAAATCATTGGTCCTCTCTGTCCAAAATGTGGACTTTGTTGTCTTTGAAAAAGTGGCCTTCGTCTTTTAAATAGAAATGGACTGCTGAATCTTGTCCTGATGGATTTGTTTTCCTATGTCGTGCCATGTGTTTATGAAGTGGTTGTTTTGTTTCCCCAATGTACAGATCTGCACATGTCTCACTGCATTGTACTGCATATACCACGGTTGCTCAGTTTTTGTCTGAGTGTTTTATCCATCCCAAGGTTTTATCCAGACACAAACACCCAGACACAAACTGATATATGCAGTATAATGCATAGGAGAACAAATCCATCAGGACAAGATTTAGCAGTCCATCTGCATTTAAAAAACAAAGGCCACTTTTTTGAAGACAGCAAAGTCCACATTTTGGACAGAGAGGACCGCTGATTTGAAAGAGGGGTCAAAGAGGCCATTTGTGTCAAAACTGAACAGCCCTCTCTCAACAGAGGGGGAAGGATATGACATCATCTATCTTCAGTCTACAATACAGTCCTTTCAGCAGTTCCAAGAAGGCTCCACATCCATTTGCACTACTCAGGTGACCCTGAGGACACAGTTAAACCTCCAAGTAGCCTCAACGATTCTCTAAAAGAATGCAAATGACCAGCTGTCTGTGAGGAATATAAATCTTTCCATTCCCCACCATCCAGTCAGAGCTGAAGATGCTTCTTGGGTGAAAGCGAAAAGTCTTCAAAGAAAAGCAAGAAAGTCCAGTTGTCTCTTGAAAAAGCACCTTTGGGATAGGTATGCTGTGTCACTTGTGAAAGGGGAATGATGTAGTAATCTGAATGAAGATGATTTGAATTTGTGGAATGGAACTGCAGGAAAGTTTTGAAGTGATTAATAATGAAAGTGCTAGCATATAAAAAGATATGAACTAATATCATGTTGATTGTTGAGAATGTATAAAAATGTAGAAATCTTCATTGAATAGTGATAAGATCTGTTCCCCATTCTTTTTCTTCTCTTATAACTTTAATTTCTTTGACTTATTCCTTTTCTTAATTTTTGCATAATATTGTTTACCCCAAAAGAAAAGTGTGATGTGTGTGTGTGTGTGTGTGTGTACACAGAGATAGTATACACATGGGTGTGCACAGTGGATTTCATCTAAAAAAAAAATCAGATGCTACCCTAAGTCAAACATGACAAAGTCTATGCAGGATCATATTAACTTCAGTGGTTGTATTGTTTTTAAATGGTTCTACTGTGATAAAAGCGGAGCCATACCTTGCTGATATATGTTATAGAATTTTCCATCCCACTGGGAATCAGGCAGATTGGAATCAGATGATACAGAGAAAGACAAAGGAGTTGTTTCTGGTACAAGTGTCTGGTACATAGAAAGCTGCAACTGGGTATTTGCCAAGTGAAAATGGCCTGTTGGTCTCTGTTCAGAACTGGCTTGATTCTGGACATCATGATCTAAGAAGTTGTTTAAAATACTGGTGATGGTTTCTTCATCCACTGATATTTCTTCTGAAAAGTTAATGGCTCCATTAGCCCCCAGGTCCTGTCTTGCCACTAGAGGGGCAGCCTCAGCAAGATGCCCAGGCCAGTGAATCCCAAGCGACTCCTGAGACCTTTGCTTGGTGTACTGAGAGAAGACTTCAGCCAGGGAGTGG